ACCAAGAGAAAATCCCAGTTACATGGATTGACCATGCATAAGTATTTTTTTATATTGATTTTGCAATTTTTTTTTTTTACTAAGCATTTTCTTTTTTCTTCTTTATAGTGTTGCCTTGTCGTTGGTGTCATAATTATCGTTATTTCGTTCTTGCTAGTCTGCATCGTAGGTACCGTAATTTGTTGTAATTGACATTGTTTATTATGTTCAGTTTAGCCGGTATCGTGATGTTTATGTTCATTCTGCAGATGAAGCGTCGTTGTTTGTTAATGCTTTCAATTCTCTTGTGTCATTGTTTTCGCTAGTGATATTAAATAGTGCTTTGCTAGAACTTCGCTTTTACTGGTACTGGTTTCTAGTATTTGCTCTTTTGCTGGGACTTTGCTTTTTGGTGCATTGCTTGCTACTGCCTTGCCTTTCTGATATTTTACTTTTTTGGTGCTTTGCTTTGCTCTTTTGCTAGGACTTCACTTTACTGGTGCTTCGCTTGCTGCTGCCTTGCCTTTCTGATATTTTACTTTTTTGGTGCTTTGCTTTGCTCTTTTGCTAGGACTTCGCTTTTACTGGAGCTCGATTTACTGTGCTTTGCCTTTTGGTGCTTGCTTGTACTCTTTTGCTAGAACTCGCTGGTGTTGCTGGGTTGTCTAGATAAGTATCGGTTTTTTTTTTGTTTTTTTTTTTACCTATGTTAGTTCATTTTACTAACCTAAATACTTTTGATTTTTTTGTGTCATCGTTTTGCTGGTGACATTAAGTGGCGCTTGCTTTGCTTTTTTCTTTGCTGAAACTTCGCTTTTACTGGTGCTGGTGCTTTACTTTTCTGGTGTTTGCTTTTTTGCTAGGACTTCGTTTTGCTGGTGCTCTGATTTGCTACTGCCCTGCCTTTCTGATGCTTTGCTTTTTGGTGCTTTGCTTTGCTCTTTTTGTGCTTTGATTTGCTTTTTTGGTGTTTTGTTTTGCTCTTTTTCTGGGATTTCACTTTTACTGGTACTCAATTTGCTCTTTTGCTGGGACTCGTTAGTGTTGTATCGCGTTGCTGAATTGTTTAAATAAGTATCTTTTTTTTTTTTTTTGTTGCCTATATTACTTCATTTTACTAACCAGTCTCTTTTTTCATAGTGTTAATATTGTGTTG